GAGTGGTGCAGGATACCTTCCTCGTCTACGTAAAGTTTACCTTTATTTACATGGAGGGTGTTGGAGGAGACCTTCCTCGTCTACATTGAGTTTACGTTTATTTACATGATGTGTGTTAGAGGAGATCTTCCTCGTCTACGTAGAGTTTACCATTATTAATATGGTGGGTGTTGGAGGATAGTTCCCTCGTCTACGTAGAGTTAATCCTTATCAATATGGTGGGTGTTGAAAGAGAGTTCCCTCGTCTACGTAGAGTTTATCCTTATTTACATGTTGGGTGTAGGAGGAGAGTTCCCTCGTCTACGTAGAATTTACCCTTATTTTACATTTTGGGTGTTGGAGTAAAGCTTCTTATCTACATAGAGTTTACCCTTATTTACATGGTGGGTGTTGGAGGAGAGTTCCTTCGTCTACGTAGAGTTTACCCTTATTAATATTGTGGTTGTTGGAGGAGAGTTCCTTCGTCTACGTAAAGTTTAACCTTATTTACATGGCGTGTGTCTGAGGAGAGCTTCTTCGTCTACGTAGAGTGTACATGGTGGGTGTTGGAGGAGAGTTCCTTCGTCTCGTCTAAGAAGTGTTTACCTCTATTTACATGGTTGTTGTTGGAGAGAGTTTCCACGTCTACCTAGAGTTTATCCTTATTTACATCGCGGCTATGAGAGGAGAGTTACCTCGTATACGTAGAAGTTACCCTTATTTACATGGTGGATGACACTACTTAGACGAGGAAGCTCTCCTTACTTACACACCATATAAATATTGGTAAACACTACGTAGACAAGGGAAGTCTCACCCAACACCCACCATGTAAATAAGGGTTAACTCTACGTAAACGAGGGAACTCTGCTCTTACACCCACCATGTAAATGAAGGTAAACTCTAGGTAGACGAGGGAACTCTCCTCTTACACCTACCATATAAATAAAGATAAACACTACGTAGACGAGGGAACTCTCCTCTTACACCAACCATATACATATTGGTAAACACTACGTAGACAAGGGAACTCTCCTCCAACACCCACCATTTAAATAAAGGTAAACTCTACTTAGACGAGGGAACTCTCCTCTTACATCCACCATGTAAATAAGGTAAACTCTACGTAGAATAGGAAGCTTTCCTAACACACACCATGTAAATAAGGTTAAACTCTACGTAGACGAGGGAACTCTCCTCACACACCCATCAAGTAAAGAACACCCACCCTATTAATAATGGTAAACTCTATNAGACGAGGGAACTCTCCTCACATACCACCATGTAAATAAGGGTAAACTTTACATAGACGAGGGAACTTTCCTCTTACACCCACCTTGTAAATAAATAACTCTACGTAGACGAGGAATGTCTCCTCCAACACCATCAATGTATAAAAAGGTTAACTTTACGTAGCCGAGGGCACCCTACTCTTACATCCTCCATGTAAATAAGGTTAAACACCACCAAGAAGAGGAAACTCTTCTCCTACACCAACCATATTAATAATGGCAAACACTACGAAGGAACTTTCCTTTAACACCCACCATATAAATAAAGGTTAACTCTAAGTAGACGAGGGAACTTTCCTCACACATCCACCATATACATAAAGGTAAACACTACGTAGACAAGGGAACTCTCCTCAAACACCCTCCATCTAAATAAAGGTTACACATTAAATGATGGGTCACACACCCATCAAGTAAAGAAGGGTAAACACTACGTAAACGAAGGAACTCTCCTCCAACACCCAACACACAAATAAGGGTAAACTATATTTAGACAAGAAAACTCTCCTCCGACACCCACCCTATTAATAAGGATAAACTCTACGTAGACGAGGAAGATCTCCTGTAACACCCATCATATTAATAATGGTAAACTCTATGTAGACGCGGGACCTCTCCTCGAACACCCATCATGTAAATAAGGGTAAACGCTACGACGACGAGGTAGGTCTCCTCCAACCCCCGCCATGTAAATAAAAGTAAACTTTACGTAGACGAGCAGTCCCTCCTCACACATCCACCATGTAAATAAGGGTACACTCTACGCAGACGAGGGAACTCTCCTCAAACACCCACCATCTAAATAAGGGTTAACTCTACGTAGACGAGGAAACTCTCCTCCACCACTCACCATGTAAATAAGGGTACACTCTACGCAGACGAGGGAACTCTCCTGACACACCCAGCATGTAAATAAGGGTACACTCTACGCAGACGAGGGAACTCTCCTGACACACCCAGCATGTAAATAAGGGTACACTCTACGCAGACGAGGGAACTCTCCTGTATCACCCATCATGTAAATAATGGTAAACTCTATGTAGACGAGGAAGATCTCCTGTAACACCCAGCATATTAATAATGGTAAAAAGGGTTCACTCTACGTAGACGAGGAAACTCTCCTCCACCACTCACCATGTAAATAAGGGTAAACGCTACGACGACGAGGTAGGTCTCCTCCAACCCCCGCCATGTAAATAAAAGTAAACTTTTAGTAGACGAGGAATCCCTCCTCACACATCCACCATGTAAATAAGGATAAACTCGACGTAGACGAGGGAACTCCTTTCACACACACACCATGTAAATAAGGGGTAACTCTAAGTAAACGAGGGAACTCTGCTCTTACACCCACCATGTAAATAAGGGTAAACTTTACATAGACGAGGGAACTCTCATGTAACACCCATCATGTAAATAAGGGTAAAAACTACGTAGACGAGGGAACTCCCCTGTAACACCCATCATGTAAATAATGGTAAACTCTATGTAGACGAGGGAACTCTCCTCAAACACCCACCATCTAAATAAGGGTTAACTCTGTGTAGACAAGCAAACTCTCCTCCGACACCCACCCTATTAATAAGGGTAAACTCTACGTAGACGAGGTAGGTCTCCTCCAACCCCCGCCATGTAAATAAAAGTAAACTTTTAGTAGACGAGGAACCCCTCCTCACACATCCACCATGTAAATAAGGATAAACTCGACGTAGACGAGGGAACTCCTTTCACACACACACCATGTAAATAAGGGTAAACTTTACATAGACGAGGGAACTCTCCTCACACACACACCATGTAAATAAGGGTAAACTTTACATAGACGAGGGAACTCTCCTCAAACACCCACCATCTAAATAAGGGTTAACTCTACGTAGACGAGGAAACTCTCCTCCACCACTCACCATGTAAATAAGGGTACACTCTACGTAGACGAGGAAACTCTCCTCCACCACTCACCATGTAAATAAGGGTACACTCTACGCAGACGAGGGAACTCTCCTCACATACCACCATGTAAATAAGGGTAAAAACTACGTAGACGAGGAAACTCTCCTCCACCACTCACCATGTAAATAAGGGTACACTCTACGCAGACGAGGGAACTCTCCTGTATCACCCATCATGTAAATAAGGGTAAAAACTACGTAGACGAGGAAACTCTCCTCCACCACTCACCATGTAAATAAGGGTACACTCTACGCAGACGAGGGAACTCTCCTGACACACCCAGCATGTAAATAAGGGTACACTCTACGCAGACGAGGGAACTCTCCTGTATCACCCATCATGTAAATAATGGTAAACTCTATGTAGACGAGGGAACTCCTTTCACACACACACCATGTAAATAAGGGTACACTCTACGCAGACGAGGGAACTCTCCTGACACACCCAGCATGTAAATAAGGGTACACTCTACGCAGACGAGGGAACTCTCCTCAAACACCCACCATCTAAATAAGGGTTAACTCTGTGTAGACAAGCAAACTCTCCTCCGACACCCACCCTATTAATAAGGGTAAACTCTAGGTAGACGAGGAAGATCTCCTGTAACACCCATCATATTAATAATGGTAAACTATATGTAGACGAGGGAACTCTCCTGTAACACCCATCATGTAAATAAGGGTAAACTCTACGTAGACGAGGAAGATCTCCTGTAACACCCATCATATTAATAATGGTAAACTATATGTAGACGAGGGAACTCTCCTGTAACACCCATCATGTAAATAAGGGTAAACTCTACGTAGACGAGGTAGGTCTCCTCCAACACCCGCCATGTAAATAAAAGTAAACTTTACGTAGACGAGCAATCCCTCCTCACACATCCACCATGTAAATAAGGATAAACTCTACGTAGACGAGGGAACTCTCCTCACACACACACCATGAAAATAAGGCTAAGCTCTACGTAGACGAGGGAACTCCTTTCACACACACACCATGTAAATAAAGGTAAACATTACGTAGACGAGGGAACTCTCCTGACACACCCAGCATGTAAATAAGGGTACACTCTACGTAGACGAGGGAACTCTCCTCAGACATCCACATTGAAAATAAGGGTAAACTCTACGTAGACGAGGGAACTCTCCTCACACACACACCATGAAAATAAGGCTAAGCTCTACGAAGACGAGGAAACTCCTTTCACGCACACACCATGTAAATAAAGGTAAACTCTACGTAGACGAGGGAACTCTTCTGACACACCCACCATGTAAATAAGGGTACACTCTACGCAGACGAGGGAAAACTCTCCTCACACACCCATATATGTAAATAAAGGAAAAATCTACGTAGACGAGGGAACTCTCCTCCTCAATGAGAATTTAATCGAAGAGTCAAAACATTTAAATTGTGATATCCTCATCGTATAACATTTCCACATGTATGCCAATGTCAACCATTTTTCTGGTGATTCATCATTGTTCCTTTGGACCTTGTATAAAGAAGACTGAAGCACTTTTGCTGTGAGTGCCAAAAAAAGGGGGAGGGCATACTTTGTGCTCCTTAGTTTATAAGAGCCCATTTCTACTGCCCATTTGATCATGTTCTAATCAATTTACTATTAATCATACTCAGGACATCGAAATTAAATGTTCTATAAAGGGAAAGTATTTTCATGACATTCGAAATATCTGTTTATTGTCTTCATAGTGATGTGTATATCCCTGTCGTCCAAAGCCACAAGTTAATTATGTACCTACCCTATGTTTACAGTAATCCTCCTGCCGGACGATGACCATCCCGGACAACACTGCCTGGCTGAAGCTGTTGAGGACCTGTCTAATTTAATCTCTCTCACTTCCCTCGTCAACGAGAATAAGTGGCAACATGTTCTTCAGCGTTTCCAATGGCAGGATAGTACGCGAGACGCTGGGTACTTCTCTCTCGTCTCGAATGGTACCAGACCTTCAGTCTACGTCAGCGCTCTCGGTTTTGTAAACACAACCGGCGTGACCGTTTGTTCGCGCGTGTGTCTGCGCGTGGAGGGTTGTCAGTCGTTCGCAGTCGATAGGGAAACACTAGATGGTGTGCCATGTTACCTTTACAACTACGTCTCGCGGGATTTGGTGGCTGGAAGTTCTGCAAAGTATTATGGGATGGAGGACTAAGGCATTTCTAGTTAAAATATTTGTTCGTAGAAGTAATGCAATATCGTTCCGTTCTTAACCGGGATTTTTTGTGTGTCAAAATTAGTGTTTGGGTAATGTGTTGATTGCTAAAGAGATCAAAAGCATTGTTATATATTCGTATTCAAATATCGTGCTACTTCAACACTCAAAATTGTTAATAATCACATTATAAAGGGTTGCGGGTTCGAGTCACGGCACGGCCCTGTGTTGTATCTATAAGCAAGATATTTTACTCCACTTGTTCTAGTCTACTCAGCTGTAAATGAGTACGTGGTTGGGCAGCGCTAGAAATGGCAGCTCCGAATGTATGCTCCCCAGGGAGTTGAGAAAGATATTGGCTGGTTGCAAAGGCCCTATAACCACGGATAATAATTTGTGAACCGCTTTGAGGCGACCTACGAACAAGGTTGTGATAAAGCGGTATATAAGAACCTCGAACTATTATTATTTTTACGTTCTAAACGGAATAACAAGGATTGTGCTTTAGACATAAAACATTTTTTAACGGTACAGACCTTAGTATGTTTAATTTCGAAATGGAAACAAGATCCAAGAAGAAAGAACGGACAGAGGTAAATTGGAAGCGATTCTGCAGTAAGATACAAGACAATGATCAGACACGAATAGTAAAGTTAATCTGAAAGTACGTGTCAGGATTCGCCACTATCAGATACTCTTGGAGGGCAGCTAACTCAAGCTGTAAGGTTGACGAACTTCACCCATGGAGTGACTCTAACCCTGCAGTAATTACTTGAATGCAAAACGTTGGTATCCAAATGTATGTATGGATGACCAAACATTTCATACAATATGAATTTAATAGTGAGAAAGAGTACTGGGGAGAAGTCTGGTGAGATTATTGTTCGAATTTTTTTATAAAATTGTTTCAAAATCCCTATAAACATGTTAACATTGTTAAATTGTATATGTTTCCCTTTTCCTATGATTCGTGATTCCAATTTTAGCATTTGATATTTTCAACAGACAATGTGATTACATAAAAGGTGACGTAAATATGCATTTATACATAACTGACACTATTAACCGTTCATATCTCGATATTATGAATTACCCATTCAACATAAATATACGCTAACTTAGATATGCATATGAATTTTCGACAAACAATATAGAGAAAGTATTACATTAATAACATCTTAACTTCTAATGCTTAAAGCCGGCTTTGAAGCAAACGTTAAACATATGTTCCACAAACGATTTGCATAAATCTTTTGTAGAATGAATCTACAGTTTAACAATATTGTTTATACTGTTGCTATGGTGACATATTTCAAACGTTACACATGACGAACTTGACAGGAGAGTGGGGGTGGAGGGGGGCGTAAAAAAATGAAAACATGTCTTGATCTCTTCTTTAATCAACAATAAAAGCATGTTTTGATCTCTTCTTTAATCTACAATAAAAGCATGTCTTGATCTCTTCTTTAATCAACAATAAAAACATGTTTTAATCTCTTCTTTAATCAACAATAAAAATATGCCTTGATCTCTTCTTTAATCAACAATAAAAATATGCCTTGATCTCTTCTTTAATCAACAGTAAAAACATGTCTTGATCTCTTCTTTAATCAATAATAAAACATGTCTGGGGGTCAGTCAGGGCTTATATGTGCATACCATCAAACTGCTATCCAATAATGATAATGCTAACCCAAATTGAATTACTTCCAATGGAAATTAAACAAATGTTGGTCCAAAATGGGATTTCCCTATATAAGCTATAATAAAGTTTACCCCTCCCCATGGGGAAACGTGAGACCCCAGGGTCATGAAATTCATAGTTGCGGTTAAGCACCTTAAGACCCTTCCATCTATGAAAAGAATTTGATTCTACCATATCTGGGTCTTGATAAGAAGATTTTTGAAATTTTAGTCAATTTGACCCTTTTTGGCCCCGCCCCTCAGGCCCCTGGGGGCTGGGGACCATATCCTCCACTACTGTTGCTGACCTTTGACCATGGAAAGTTTCTGCAATATTTCATTGAAAATGGTTCAGGAATTTTGGAGAAGAAGTCGAAAAGGTAAATTGTTTACGGACGCACGACGGACGACGGATGACGACGTACGACGACGGACAGAAGGCGATCGTAATAGGTCACTTGAGACTTTGTCTCAAGTGACCTAACAATAAAACTATGTCTTGATCTCTTCTTTATTCAACAATAAAACTAGGTCGTGATCTCTTCTTTAATCAACAATAAAAATATATCTTGATCTCTTCCTTAATCAACAATAACAATATGTCTTAATCTCTTCTTTAATCAAAAATATGAATTTGTCTAAATCACTTCTTTAATCAACAATAAAAACATGTCTTAATTACTTCTTTAATCAACAATAAAAACATGTCTTGATCTTTTCTTTAATAAACAATACTACTATATCTTGATCTTTTCATTAATCAATAATAAAAATATTTCTTAATTACTTCTTTAATCAACAATAGAATTATGTCATGATATCTTCTTTAATCAACAATAGAAATATGTCTTGATACCTTCCTTAATCAACAATAACAATATGTCTTAATCTTTTCTTTAATCAACAATAAAAACATGTATTGATCTCTTCTTTAATTAATGATAAAAACATGTGTTGCTTTCTTTCTTCAACACTAAAAATATGTCTTGATCTCCTCTCATACAATAACACAAACATGTATTAATATCTTTTTCAATTAACAAAAAAACACATGTCTTGAAATCTTCTTGGCGATTAATGAGGTGGCAACCACATTTGAATGGCTTTATTATTTGATATATTAATTTATCAAATAAAAGTTTATTCAACAAACAGCGTGATTCACGGTTAACGACTGAATAAAATGATTTGATCAGGTTTAACGTCTGAAAGAGGACTATCACCTGACAAAACAACATGGTAATGTTCATGATCCGAAAGTTGACTGTCACATGACAAAAAACATGGTCATGTTTATGACCCAGAAGCGGAGTGTCACCTGAAAACTGTTGGTCATGTTTATGATCCGGATGCGGACTGTCACCCTACCACCACAAATACTACCTCTATACACGCTACCACCACACACACTACCACTACACACACTACCACACACAAACTACCACCACACACACTACCACTACGCACATTAGCACCACATACATTAGCACTACACACACTACCACCACATACTACCACTACACACACTACCACACACAAACTACCACCACACACACTACCACACACACACTACCATCCACACACACTACCACCATCCACACTACCACCACACACACTTCCACTACACACACTACCACCACATACTACCACTTCAGGGAAATCCACTACAGCTCAGGCTTGTCACCTAATCAATGTACTAGTATTACACAACAACGCGCACTACCACCACACACTCTTTCACTACACACACTGCCCCTCCACGCACACAACCACCAAACACACTACCATCACACACACTACCAATACACACACTACCACTACACACACTACCACACACAAACTACCACCACACACACTACCACACCCCCACTACTATCCACACACACTACCACCATACACACTACCACCACACACACTACCACACACACACTACACTACCACCATGCACACTACCCCCACACACACTTTCACTACACATACTACCTCCACGCACACTACCACCACACACACTACCACACCCACACTACTATCCACACACACTACCACCATGCACACTACCACCACACACACTTTCACTACACATACTACCTCCACGCACACTACCACCACACACACTAACACCACACACAGAACTACTACACACACTACAACCTACACTACCACTACACTCACTACCACCACACACACTACCTCTTCGCACGCTACCGTCACACACATTACCACTACACACGCTAGCACACACACACTACCGCTACACTCATTACCACCACACACACTACCATCACACACACTACCACCACACACACTACCACCACAAACACTACCACACACACACTACCACCACACACACTACCACCACACACACTACCACCACACACACTACCACCACACACACTACCACCACACACACTACCACCACACACACTACCACCACACACACTACCACCACACACACTACCACCACACACACTACCACCACACACACTACCACCACACACAGTACTACTACAGACACTACCACTAAGCACACTACCACTAAATACTTTACCTCTTCGCCTGCTACCACCACACACATTACCAATACACACATTACCACACACACACTACCACCACACACATTACCACACACACTACCACCACGCATACTACCACCACACACACTACCACCACACACACTACCACCACACACACTACCACCACGCATACTACCACCACACACACTCCCCCACACACACTACCACACACACACTACTATCCACACACACTACCACTACACACACAACCACCACACACACTACCAGCACACACACTAACACCACACAAACTACCACTACACACTACCTCTTCGCACGCTACCACCACACACATTACCACTACACTCACTACCACCACACACACTACCATCACACACATTACCACACACACTACCACCACGCACACTACCACCACACACACTTTCACTACACACACTACCTCCACGCACACTACCACCACACACACTACCACTACACACACTACCTCTTCGCACGCTACCAACACACACATTACCACTACAATCACTACCACCACACACACTACCACCACACACACTTTCACTACATACACTACCTCCACGCACACTACCACCACACACACTACCACCACAGACACTACCACACACACACTACCACCACACATACTACCACCACACACACTTTCACTACATACACTACCTCCACGCACACTACCACCACACACACTACCACCACAGACACTACCACACACACACTACCACCACACATACTACCACCACACACACTACCACCACACACACTACGACACACACACGACCACCACACACACTACCACCACACACACTACCACACACACACTTTCACTGCACACACTACCACCACACACACTACCACACACACACTACCACCACACTACCACCACACACACTACCACACACACACTACCACCAAACACTACCACCACACTCACTACCACCACACACACTTCCACCACACACACTACCACCACACACAGTGCTACTACAAACACTATCACTACGCACACTA